TCAGGACGCAGGTCCTTGGGGCACGACTCACGCAGCTCAGCCTGGAGGGTACCAACCAGGTCCTTCGCGGCCAGCACCTTGGCCTTGAGCTCCTGGAGATGTTCCTCGGCGGCTTCGACAACCCTGACCTGCGCACTGACGCCGGACTCGAGCTTCTGCTGGCGCTTGATCGCGTCCTGCAGCTTGTGCCCGAGGGTGGTGTGGCGCGCAAGCTGCGGCTTGGCATCATTGCGGGCCTTGCGCGCCGCTGCAAGAGACTGCTCGGCACTGACACGGCTGGGGACATCTGCGCCCAAGCCCGACTTGGCAAACTGGGCCACGATCCCTTCCCAGCGCTGGACCTCAAGCTCGAGCGGGTCGGGCGGAGGGGCAGGCTCGGCGGGGGGCTCGGCCTTGGACTTCTGGAGGGCAGCGTACTTGCGCTTGAGCTCAGCGAGCTCGCGGGCGATACCTCCATCCACACTGCCTGGCGGCCCTGACGCCCAAGCGCCCCCAGCACGGCGTCGGCCGCCTGCACCCCCAGGAGCATGAGGTGGACCACCAGCTTCACTCTGCTTGGCCGCCTTGCGCGCCTTGTCTGCGATAGACTGCGGGGCATGGCGGCCGCATCGGCACCGAATGCGCGATGCGTAGTTGGCGGAAGCGCCGCAGGCCGGGCAGCCCCAGAAGGGGCGAATCGGTCCTGGCAGCACATCATGATCGGGATTGGCCATCCAACCTGTGCGGGGGTTGGATGGAAGCGAAGAGAACTGGCTCGCAGGCGCGCTGCCGCTCCGAAGAAAGGCACCTGCAAGGCGCGCGAGAAACCTCGCGAGCCCGAAGCGGCTAGGAGGAGGAGGAGGAGGAGGAGGAGGAGGAGGAGGAGGAGGCGGAAGAGGACGAGGAGGAGGAGGAGGAGGAGGAGGCGGAAGAGGGGGAGGAGGAGGCGGAGGAGGAGGAGGAGGAGGATGAGAGGAGGAGGAAGATGAGGGGAGGAGGGGGAAGAGAGGGAGGAGGAGGAGGAGGTGTAGGGGGAGAGACGACGAGGAGGAGGAGGAGGAGGAGGAGGAGGAGGAGGAGGAGGAGGAGGAGGAGGAGGAGGAGGAGGGGGAGGAGGACGGGTCACCTAAACCCTTTGGAGAAACCCTCCACGTTGCCACTGAGCACCGATCGCGAGCCCAGGATCTGTCTGGCCAGGACTGGTGCAGGCGGTGCAGTCGGAGCCCTCCACGCCAGCCTGCCCAGGGCGAGGTCGAAGATGAAGTCCTCGGCGCCGCGGCCCGGCCGCCCGGCTGCGAGATGGCAGGGGCCACCAAGACGACCAAGCGGACCCTCAAATCAGCGAATTTCCCCAATCAGTGCTTGCACTGAAGGGGTCCTGGCGGGAATTGCCAGATTTGGCGAAAAGGCCCCACCGATTTTGGTGGCCGGCTGGGTTCCTGGGTTCCCGGTTCTGGGTTCCCGGGTTCCTGGTCATTGGTTCCGGTCCGATTTCGGTGGGTTCCGGGTTCCCGGGTTCCTGGTCGAGCTCCATATCGATAATTCATCGATCCCATTTCAAAGCATCCACTGATTGGGCTTTTCTTTGGTGCAATGAGCGACAGTCGTGCTCAAACCGCAGACGGATGGACGCATTCCTGCTCGGAACTGGGCACGTGAACAATCGGCGTCGGCTGCCCTGCAGCGACTCCCTGGCTGCGCCTCGGCCCCTGGCTGGTCAGCTGCGTTGGCTCTCTGCCTCTCTCTGGCCCCCGCTCTGCGGCTATGGGGCAGGCGGGCCACGGTCCTTGTAGAGCATGAAGGAGATCCCGAGGATGGTCTGCTTCGTGGTGGTGCCCATGAAGGTGCGGCACCAGAGCGCGTCGTCGCCGTGCTGCTGCAGGTAGCTGCGCGGCTCCCACTCCACGCTCACGCCCCCCGAGAACTGGACGGCCAGCGGCGGGAAGCCGGTGGGGCCGCTGGCGCCGCCCCGGAGGCGCCAGCAGCGGTCCGACTCCCGGTCCGCTCCGCACCCGCCGTGCTCCGCGCAGTAGTCCTCAGGGCACCCTGACCCCCTCGAGCAACGACAGAACTCACGACGGCCGGGAGGTGTGCACAATGTTCGGCCCCTTCGGTGGGCCCTGGCCTCGGGAGCGCCCAAAACCACTCAGGATGAAGACCCAGTCCCGGGGAATGGGTCCCGACCTCTGATCGAGCCACTCAGGTCATGGTAATGCTGGGATTCAGAAAATAACAGCCACGGATTTCGAACATCCGTCTTTTATTTCCGCACGCCGGCTTCTGCGTTTTGATCCGGCGGCGCAGTGCAATCCATGCAATCCGTGCCTCGCTCTCGTGCATCCTAGCTCTTGCTCCATCCGTCGTTTCAAGAATGCGCGTGCGTCCATTACCATGGCCTGCGTTAGCCGGTGCACCTCTGATGCACCTCTGGGAGTCGATGAAACAGGGCTAGGATCGGGATACATCGCTCCAGAGCGTTCCGGAGCGCTGTCAGAGCGTTCCGGAACGCTCTGGAGCGGCCGCGGCGCCCAATACATCCTCCAAACCCGCCGATTCTCAGAGATTTCGAGTTATCCCGATCCGATTTCGTCCCGAGCTTCGCGTCGTTTCACCTCTCGGGGTCGACGCCATGAAACAATCGTGACGTCGGGGGGCCCGGGCCTGGGCGCCCGGGCGCCGCGCTCTCTTCTCCTGGCGGCGTGGGCCGCGCGCGGGGGCCTCCAGGGACCCCCGGCCGCAGCGAGGGCCCGTGCGCCGCACCGCGGGCGGCGGCTCCTGCGCCCGGGCCCGGGGCCCGGGGAACGACGCGAAGCTCGGGACGAAATCGGATCGGGATAACTCGAAATCTCTGAGAATCGGCGGGTTTGGAGGATGTATTGGGCGCCGCGGCCGCTCCAGAGCGTTCCGGAACGCTCTGAGAGCGCTCCGGAACGAGCGATTTATCCCGATCCTAGCCCCGTTTTAAGCATGCCCCATGCTCTGATCCCCAGACCACCCCGAGCCATGAAAAAATCACGACGGCGGGATTTTCCACGCTTCCTGCCTCTGGGGGCCTCTGCCGGGCCTCGGGACCGTCAAAAAACGACTCGGGACGAAAAACCGGTCCTGGGGAATGGGTCCAAACCTCTGGGGGTCGACGTCATGAAAAAATCATGACGTCGGGGGTCTGGGTCATTTGATACTGGAATTTTCCAGTCGCGACCGACGAGAACGGTCGCTGCTGCTACACATTTCAGTATCGACCGCGGCCGATCTGCTTGAAAAAATCGGTCGCGACCAATCAATTGGTCGCGACCGACCGGTCGCGATCGGTGGCGACCAGTCACGACCGATTTCGGGACTGGTCGCGACCGGTTTGGAATGTCGATCGGTCGCTACCGATCGCAACCGAACAAATATCGGTATCCAGTGATCTGGGCAGGTGGCACCGGGGCGCCAGGACACTGGAGAGGAGCCTCCGTCCTGTGTCGCGAGGAGCGTACGCGGCCCAAGGGGGCCTGGGGGGGTGGAAGGGGAAGCATTGGATTAAGGAGAGTCGCCGCAAAATCTGCGAGGAGATCCTGGCCCCAGCCGATCTCCCCCCAATCATGACCCCCCCCTTGGCCGCCACCAAACTTTTCTGAGACGTTTGAATTCTGGGCCCCTGGCCTCAAAATGACCCCCCAGCGAAGGGAATTCGACCGTGGCCACAAAAAGCCTCCCGAGGGCCTGGAACACAGAAAAACTGGACCACGTGTATCAGAATCGATGAAAATCGGCCGTCGCGATTTCTGTTTTGACGCCAGGATCTGAGGGTTCCTCCAGGCGGGTCGCCAGCGCGGAGAACACCTCGTCCGGGAAGTAAGTGTAGGTCGTGCCGCTATCCACGATGGTCGCCCCGAACGGGTTGGCCGTCGCCCCTCGAGACACTTTGCATGTACCCGCAGGAGATACGTTACATAGGACAAGCTTTGCTATAAGGCCACTTGGAGCAGGATCTTCGTCGAAAGGCGCCCCCCACAAAAATATTCCATGTCCCCGAGGCCACCAGGAAATAACAGATTTCCGTGGGCCCCCCCTCTGGCAGGCTGGCTTCTCAATTGATGTGCCCTGTCTCTATATATAAGTGTGTATATACATATATAGTCTTACGTTTCCAGATGCCGCGCCTAAACCAATGTGAACTGTTTCTCTGCCATCGACGATACCGAGCCCGTCGATCGAGACAAAGTAGTACTCCGTCATCCTCAGTGCGACCCACTGCACGGGCTCGCCGCCTGGCTTTGCCAGGTGGTAGGAGCTGTTGTAGCCGCCGAGCGTCATGCGCCCGCCCCAGCCTGCCAGGCATATTGCGAAGACCCTGGCGTCGATGTGCTGCCCATCGTGGAACAACTCCTGCAGGATGGTCGGCTGGCTCCCCATGGAGGGCGCGAGCCCCATGATGCCGTTGGCCTTTTGCGAGAAAAAGAGATTGTCCTCTCAGCGGCGCGCCCAGTGAGGAGAGCACAGACTGGCCATCGCTCGGACGTCAATTCCCTGTGTTTGTGTTCGGTTTCGCGCGTGTTTTTTTCACCAAATGATCAAGGATGCTCCTCGATGGTCCCCGCCGGAGGAAAAATGCACACGTCCGAGCGATGCCAAGCAGAGGGGGATGGCCTTCTCAGAGGGGCTCAGGAGGCCTCTGGCCCTCTGAGGAGCTCACGGCGCCTCCTCCGCAGCCGCACGGGGCTTCCCGGAAGGCTGGAGAACCTCTTAAAACAAAACAAAAACTTGTGTATATATATAGATATATATATATATATATATATATATAAGACTGCACTGGCGCTGCGCGCCATGCACCTTGGTCCTTTGAGTACTGCACGCAAGCGGCATGCGTGCGTGCGTACATGCGCGCATGCATGTATACACGCGCACGTGCATGCACGTTCCTTATAAATGTCTAGGTGTATACAGTGTACTTACATTGTTGTATGTGTGCGTACAGCGTACATGTGTACATATAAATGTATGTGTGTCAGGGTATGAACATGCATATGCAACTCGTACGTGCTTTGTCCGTGCACGCCCATATGTACATATATAAGTATATATATATATACACGTACATGAATATAACTATGGGTTCGCATACACATGGGGCCCTCGTGGGCCGTTTTGGCGCCTTCATGGGCCGTCCTTGGGCCTTCTTGGGCCGTCTTGGGGAGCTTGGGCACGCTGGAGCCCCCTTTGAACCCACCTTGGGCACTTCCGGGGACCTCCCATGGCCCTTTTGGGTCTGTGCTGGGAGCCCTTGGGGGGCCTCTTGGTTCCATTATGGGCTGTCTTGGGGCTCGCGTGGGGCCCGGCTCGGCCGTCTTGAAGCTTTCTTGGGGGCCTTTTGGGGCTCTGTGCTGGGAGCCCGTGGGGGGCCTCTTGGTTCCATTATAGGCTGTCTTGGGGCTCTCGTGGGCGGATTTCCGTTGGGGCACGGCTCGGCAGTCTTGAAAGCTTTCTTGGGGGGCCCCTTTGGTGGCGGTCCTTGAGGCGGAATTCTCGGGGGGCTGATTGAGGGCTTTGAAAACCGCTTGAAAGCTGATGAAATCCGAACAAAAAAAAGAAAAGCGCGAAATGCTAAACTTTGTAAGTTACCAAAAGGGAATGGGACCGACGATTGTTGTGGTGTGTGTGGTGTTGGAAGGATGAAGGCCCCTTGGAAAGCTTTTTGGGGTGCCTTGGGGGTCTTTATGTTGGCATTCGGAAACATCGTGGGGGTGTTTTCGGGGCCCTCGTGGGCCGTTTTGGCGCCTTCATGGGCCGTCCTGGGGCCTTCTTGGGCTGTCTTGGGGAGCTTGGGCCCGCTGGAGCCTCCTTTGAACCCATCTTGGGCACTTCCGGGGACCTCCCATGGCCCTTTTGGGTCTGTGCTGGGAGCCCTTTGGGGGCCTCTTGGTTCCATTATGGGCTGTCTTGGGGCTCTCGTGGGCGATCGTGGGGCCCGGCTCGGCCGTTTTGAAGCTTTCTTGGGGGCCTTTTGGGCGTCTTGAGGCGATCTCGGGGGCTTTGAAACCGTCTTGAGAGCTGTTGAAATCCGAAAGGCGAACATGCTAAAATTGTAAGTCTTACAAAAGGGAATGGGACGATTGTTGTGGTGTGAAGGCCCCTTGGAAAGCTTTTTGGGGTGCCTTGGGGGTCTTTCGGGCCGTCCTGACGCAACTGGAGTCCCTCGTGGAGCGCTCTTGTGCTGTCTGGGGCCTCCGTTGAGCCTTTCTGATGACCCCTCGGATCGCTCTGGGTCTGCTGGGAAGGCGTTTGTGGAGACAAAGAAAGCCGGGTGACCTTTTCCAAGGACGTCCAACGGAGCCCGAGAACCCCAGATCCCGCGGGTCCATTTTTTTTGGGGTGGGGGAAAGGTTTTCCCCCCCCCCCCCCAGGCTTGTAAAAATATAGGAAGATGAATAGGTAGGTATGTATATTCATTGGTTGCTTCTCAGAAGGCTGGTGAACTTCTGAGGGGCCCCGCCGCCTTCTGAGAAGACCCGCCCCCATTTCACTTTCCCCCCTCGGCGGGCCACCGCTCCTCCCTATCGTGGCACCCCATCTTCACGCGCACCGCGGGGTTTTTGCTGAAAGAGTCGCCCAGCTCCACGAAGTCCGTGAACCAGAAGCCCTCCAGACTGCTACCCTCCGCGTAGCTCTCCCTGTACGAGCAGCGGTCGCCCACGCACTCTGCTGTGCAGCCTTCCGCTGCGCAGCTGGACCAGCTGGCGGTCTCCGAAGAGGAAATGTCAAAGGGTGGGTCGAGATGTTCCCCGCAGTGATCGCAGCCAGCGCATGGGAAACCTGACAACCTGCTCCCTGTGTCTATGATGACGGAGACCCGCTGGGGCGTTGGCTTGCCCACCATGATGTCGGTGAAGTAGTAGGCGTACTGGTGCATGTTGCCGAATAGGCGGGCGGACTCGATCCTCGCGGTTGATTCACCGTCCAAGGCTAGCCCAATGAAAGACTTTAGGTCAGCAGGCCCGCAACCCAACCGTAGGGGATTAAGAAGGGGAAGCGGAAAGGGAAACCCATTTCACCATATCCCACCCATCGCTCAAATCCGACGTCGCTAAACATATGAAGACATCGTAATCACAACATGTTAGGGCAACTTCGTGCGGCATTTCTCTGGCTTGATCCATCCGTGAGGGTCCTGAGGCTCGAAACCAAACGAAAACGTCGGGTGAAAAAAACTGCGACGCCCAGATTACAGGGCCTGGCCTTCCGTCAGGTTGACGGCGATCACAAGCCTGCAGTCAACGAGCATAAGTTCAGGATTCAAGCCCCCTGGACGCCCAAGTTGCAGCTCTTTGAACGAAGAACTGTGTAAAGATTGGCCCACGAAGCAAGGATGTGAGGATGCCAATGGAAGCGCTACTCATCCTTACCATGCGGGTTGAACGTACCCCTCGACTTTGAATCAGCCAGTCTTCTGCTCGGGGTCGTACTGCCAGGCGCCGGCGCAGGGGCGGGCAAGGGACGCCAGCGAGGCCAGGCCAACGGAGACGCTCCCAGGTATGGGAGGCATGGCTGCTCGGCCGCGAAGCGAGCGCGACCAGAAGTGACACGAGCCGCAACAAAAAACGGCTGACGGCGAGCAGGCCCTAACATCAGGTCGGGCGTTTTCCTCCTGTAGAGGGGCATGCCCGACCTAAACCTTGCCAATCTCGACGCTTCTGCACGGTTTCCTCCCGGGCAGTAGGCGACCCGAGGAGGGGGGGAGGAGGTGGAGGAGGGGGAGGGGGAGGAGGAGATGGAAGAGGAGGAGGACGAGTGAGGAGGGAGGAGGAGATGGAGGAGGAGGACGATAAGGGAGGAAGGAGGAAGGAGGGAGAAGGGAGGAGGAGGAGGGAGGAGCGGGGGGGGAGGAGGGAGGAGGAAGGAGGACGAGGACGAGGAGGAGGAGGAGGGAGGAGGAGAGAGGAGGAGAGGAGGGGAAGGAGGAGGAGGGGAAGGAGGAGGAGGACGAGGAGGAGGACTGGTCGCCTAAGCCCTTCGGAGAAACCCTCCAGGCGCTTCTGCTCACTCTCGGCCTCCAGGGCGGGGCCAGCCTCGGGCCTGGGGCCATATCAGAGATATCGCTGCGGGATTTCAGACCGACCTGCGCGGTTTCCCCCGGGGCCGCAGGCGACCCGCGATCCCCGAGGAGGAAGAGGAGGAGGAGGAGGAGGAGGAGAGGAGGAAGGAGAGGAGGAGGAGAGAGGAGGAGAGGAGGAGGAGGAGGAGGAGAAGAAAGAAAGAAAAAAAGAGGAGGAGGAGAGAAGGAGGAGGGAGGAGGAGGAAGGTAGGAGGAGGAGGAGGAGGAGGAGGAGGAGGAAGGGGGAGGGGGAGGAGGAGATGGAGGAGAAGGAAGTGGCGGAAGGAGAGGAGGAAGGAGGAACGGGAGGAGGAAGAGGGAGGGAGGAGGGAATGGAGGAGAGGGAGGGAAGGAGGGCAGAGAGGGAGGAGGGAAGAGGGAGGAGGGAGGAGGGAGGAGGGGAGGAGGAGGAGGAGAGAAGGAGAAGGAGGAGGAGGCGGAGGAGGAGGAGGATGGAGGAGTGAGGAGGAGGAGGAGGAGGAGGAGGAGGAAGGAGGAGGAGGGGAGGAGATGAGAGAGGAGGAGAGGTAGGAGGAGGAGGGAGGTAGGAGGGAGGAGGAGGAGGAGGAGGAGGAGGAGAAGAGGAGAAGAGGCATGAGGAGGAGGGAGGAGGGAGGAGGAGGAGGAGGATGAAGGCAGGAGGAGGAGGAGGAGGAGGAGGAGGAGGAGGAGGGAGGGGAGGAGGAGGAGGAGGATAGGCGAGGAGGGGGGGGAGGAGGGGTGTTTTTCCTTCCAAACTCCGCCTGTAGGAGGACACGCCCGACCTGAGGGGAGTTGCGATCTTTTGTCGTGGCGCTTTCGTCGGACAACTCGAAGATGCGGGTGGCGAGGCATCGCCTGCGAAGGCGAGGCGACCGCGACGCCGTGGACGACTGGGGGCGCGGGGAGAAGCCCAGACCGAGGGCAACGCTCTAGAGGCTTTCCGGGGGGGTGGGGGGGGCGGGGGGAAGACGTCGAGCTGGAATCGGGGACAGATCGGCGGCATCGGGCCCCCGATGCCTTCCTGGGCGGGCTGGTCTGCCAGGCCCCCGTTGGCGATCTGTGGGCGACTGGAGGTCGGTGCGTCCCCCTCGGGGCCCCCAAGTGATCCTCGTCGTCTGGCCTTCTGTCGGGGATCTTCTGACCCGGGTCAATCCAGACCCGGGTCAGCAGGAAACCAAAAACTGCAATGCAAAAAAAAAATGCAACGCAGACCTTCGCAAACCCGGGTCAGCCAATATGCGCGGCCCCCTCGCGGCTCGCTAACCCGGGTCAGCCAGAGGGGGTCTTCGCAAGATCCTGCAGAATCCGGTGCCCCGGCTGACCCCCATTTGCATTGACCCACGTCTCAAGGCTCCCGATTCTGGTCACGACTCGGGTCTCCGGCGGCCCTTCGGGACGATCCGGGCAGGCGCTGAGCGCTCTCGGCGAGGCTCATGTGAAGCGGCCCAAGGACACACAGATAAACACAAATCCCAGGATTCCCCATATTCTCCCATATATTCTGGGCTTTCGTCTTCCCCCCAGTTCCCATATTCCCCAATATTTTCATCGGAATCGACGATTAATTGTGTCTGTGTGATTTTTCCCCTCCTGATCCTGGATAGCAACCAGAGGCCGGAAAGCCGCCGAGAGCCGACAAGAGCGTCCGAGAACCCTCGAGTCTCGAACCTCGCCTCGCCCCTGAGCCCCTGCCCCTGCAACGACGTGGAAGCGTGGTCGGGAGGTTCCCAGGCACGCGCGGTGTCCTGCTCTTCTCGCGCTCTTGTGGGTCAGTCTTGTGGGCTGAAGGCGCCCTGGGACACACACACACACACACACACACACACACACACACACACACACACACACACACACACACCACACATCACATAAATACACACACACACACACCCCAGGATTCCCCACACTTCCCCTCACCTTCTGGACTCTCGTCTTCCCCCCCTCTTTCCCATACGTTTCTACATATTCCTGGGAATCGACGATTCGTTGTGTCTAAATGCTTCTCCCCTCCTGGTGGGTGCCTCCTCCGAAGTCTGGCATCGTTTTCGCAGGCACGACCTGCGCGCCCCTTTTGTGCTCACGGTGTCCTCTGCCTGCGCGTGCTCCGCCGGCCAGCGTTGCGGCGCGTGCTCCGTGTACCAAGAGGCAGCCCCCGCAGCGCTGCCCCGGAGAGTCTGAGGAGCCTCGATCGGCCCAGTAGGGGGCCACATGCGCACCCCTACCCACACCCCCCACGACTTCTGAGGGGGAGGGTGGGGTTCACTTCGCTCGGGAGCTCCCGCACGAAGTGAACCCCACCCTCCCCTATCAGAAATCGTGGGGGGTAGGGGTAGGGGTTCGCATGTGGTCCCCTACCCAGAGATCCAACGTATTGAAAAAATCAAGACGGAGAATTCTGGGGAATTAGTCGGAATGGGTCAACCCTCGAAATGATAAGCCGGTCCTGGGAAATGGGTCGAGACTTCCCGGGACCACGTGTTGGAAAAATCGCGACGTCGGATCTCTGGAAAGGTGGACCCGCTCAGGGGGGGGAACGTCGATCTGAAAATCGGCGATGCATCGCCGATAGATCGGCGATAGGCCCCCGACAGCGAATCCGCATAGTCCTGGGCAGGGTGGGCTTTCGGGCACCTGTCGGCGATGAATGGGCGATTAGGGGCCGATGCGTTACCCCCTGAGCTTACAGTCAAGTTGCTGCAGTAAGGAACGCAGAATAAGGAACGAAGCCTCATTCTGGCACCTGGAAAGCCTGGGTGCACGGTGCACGAGGAGGGCTAGAGAAACAACCACGGAATGACCGAAGGAACAGCGAGCCCCTTCCGAACCCCAGAGCGGTCCGTATCTCAGCGTCTTGACTGTATCCCCCCCTACCTTGGTGCCTAGTAGGCTCCGGAAACGGCAAGGCCGATTTTTCACCGTTTTCGAAAAATGTCCCTGACCTTGAAGATGGAACCAGCAAAAAGAGGCAACTGGAAACGGCAAGAAAACGGCTCCGGAATCGTAACCGGAACTGAAACCCGCAGGGCAACAGCAACGGAACCGGCAGCAACAACGGCGCTGGAACCAGGAACAGAAACGGAAAACAGAACAGGAACAAAAACATCGGCCCTGCCGTTGCCAGGGCCCACTCGGCTTGTAGTCGAAGAGCAGATCGGCACCCGACTATTTTTCTATTCTCGAGTACTGTTCCTGCAGAAGGGGCACGCCCGACTGAACACTACAGGCCCTGGCCCTTGAGGAGAGCGCCAAGAGGAGGCAGCGCGCGGGCAGCCGCCGGCGGGCGCGGGGGGCGCTTCGCGTGCAGGTCGCCGAGGTCGAGCTCGAGGCGGGAGGAGTCCTCCGCGGTGCCGGCTGCGTGCCGAGGGCGGGCGGGGGGGGGGTGCGAGTAGGGGGCCACATGCGAGCCCTACCCCCACCCCCCACGATTTCCTGCGGGGGAGGGTGGGGTTCACTTCGCTCGGGAGCTCCCGCACGAAGTGAACCCCCCCTCCCCCTCAGAAATCGTGGGGGGTAGGGGTAGGGTTCGCATGTGGCCCCCTAGTGAGGCCGAGGGGAGTCGACGAGGAGGCCTGGGAGCTTCGAGGAGGCGAGGGGCCACCGCTTCCGCAGCGCAGCTGTGCGGCCCCATGTCGTGGGGGAGGCTCGGGCGCCCGCTGGCCTGCTTCACAGGGCCCCGCGGGCTGGCGCCGGCTCGCACGCGCTCGTGCCACCGCCCTGTGGAAGAGCACCGCGCGCCTGGCATCTCCAGGAGCCTCGGGGAGGAGAGGGGCCACCGCTTCCGTAACTCGGGGAGACGTAAGACTCGGGTACGGGGAACTCGGGTTGACCCGACGGGGCCATCATGAAAATGACGAGGCCCAATCTGAATTTGACGCGGGCTCCCGCTGCACACATGCAAACGGGACCGTCAAAATCCAGGACGCGCTCGTCAAAAAAAGACGGCAAACCCGAGTTCTGGCTTACTCGAGTCGTACGTTTCCCCGAGCAAGGCACAAGAAGAAGACCAGGCACCCCAAGCACCAAACTGTCGGCGCTCCGCGCGGATCTCTCGGATCTGCGCTGGACCCCCCCCTGCCTGGCGCGCGGGGCGCGCCAGGGGCGGCGCTGGAGGCGCCGCCCCGGGGGGGGCCCAGCGCGGACCCAAGCAATCCGCGCGGAGCGCCAGAAGCTTAGTGTTTAAGGCGTTCTTCTTCTTCTTCTTCTTCTTCGAGAGAGAGAGAGAGAGACAGAGACAGAGAGAGACAGAGAGAAAGAGAGAGATAGGGAGAGAAGGACCATCGCTTCTGCAACGTCCTTGGGCCGTCTTGCAGGTGTGTGTCTCGCCCGGGGGGGCTCTGGAGGCCTGGGGGGGCCCGGGGCGAGGGCGGGGGCGGCGAGGAGCCGAGGGGGGCGGGGGCGGCGAGGACACCTCGGGCGTCCTGGAAGCCTCGACGAGAGAAGGCCTGCACTCTGACATCGGCGGTGGACAAACCTCCCTTTAGCAAACCTCCCTTTAATGAAAACGGCCTGGGACCGAAACCGACGGACCTGGACCCGCGCGCCGGTAACAAAGAACGGTTACTTGACCGTCTTCCGACGGCCTGTTCTGTGGCCGCGACGCCCTCCCGCGAACCGAAGACTGCCAATTCGCTAGTCGACGCGTATTCCTGGCGGCGCGCACAGGGAGGTAGGGGACAGGGGGGAGACTTCTTTTAAGGAGGCTGCTTCTTAGAAGGCGCTGGCCCTACATCCACAGGCAGGGCCCGCCTTCTAAGAAGCAGGGGGGATTCTGAGAAGGCTTCCCCCCTCCCCCTACCCCCCTCCGCGAGTGGCCGATATTCTGGACAGAAAAATCATTCCCACCCCCACTGGGGAAACCTTGACCCTGTGGCCGACCTCCACCCCCCCAAAGTGGGGATGGGTGCCGTCTCGTGAGGGTTTCGCGGCACCCCTCCCCACCTGGGAGGGTACGCCTGGAGAACTACGCTACCCTGTCCCGGTGTGGGTGGGGACGGCTCAGACGATGAAGACGTATAATCAAAATCAACGCTCCACCCTCCATCATCCATCCTCCCTGCTCCATCCTCGGTCCTCTCCCCGGGTCCTCCTCCTCAGGCTTCACTCGGCGGCGAGCCCGGGGGAAAATAAGATGGGCCGGGCCTTCTGAGCAGGCTTGGAAGCGCCCCGGCCGTCTGAGACGTTTTCTGAGGCTTCTCCGAAGACGCAAGAAAAACTTCTCAAAGGCGCGAGGGACTCTGAGAAGCTCCGCCGCCTTGTGAAAGGGCCTTCTCCTTCTCACTTCCCCCCCCCCTGTTGTGGACGCCCGAGGTGGGTACGGAAACAATGAGCACAATGCCCAACAACAAACGTTGCCCCAAACCAGCAGCGGCCGCTGTTGGGCAGGCGGCCTTCTGCCTCAAGTGGACACAGGCCTCGGCGGCGCGGGCAGCGAGTCCGGTTCAAAACGGACAGGAACTGATGCTGGGCACTGTGCCCACTCCTTCCGTACCCAGTTCGCTCGTGCCGACCCTCGCTCGCCGCCGATTGCAGGTCGCTCCCCCCCCCCCCCCTCCAGCCATGCCCCAGGCAGCGCTCCGGCCAGACATCTCCGGATGCGGAGGTCCAGCCCGCGGCCTCGAGGGCGCGCCCCCGAGGCCGTCCAGGGAGGGCCAGCAAGAGCGCTCTCCAGATCCTCGGACCACCATCGTCAGGATTCACGGGAGAACTGATGGGCCTGTTTTCCGCCACCACCACCATAAGTTGGATGGGGGGAAGGAGGAGGACGAGGAGGAGGACGAAGAGGAGGAGGAGGAGGAGGAGGACGAGGAGGAGGACGAAGAGGAGGACGAGGAGGAGGAGGAGGAGGAGGAGGAGGAGGAGGAGGAGGAGGAGGTGGTGTTGGTGGTGGAAAACAGGCCCATCAAGCACTGGAAGCGGCGGCGAGCGAAGGGGGGGGGAAGTGAGAAGGAGAAGACCTCCTCGGCAGGCGGCAGGGCCTCTCAAGGAGCACTCCGGCCTGCCGAGATGACTCTCAATGTCTTCGGGGAAATCGTAGAACACTTCTCAGTTGGGGATCTTCTGACCCGGGTCAGTCCAGACCCGGGTCAGCAGGACACCAAAAACTGCAATGCAGGAAAAAACAACTGCAACGCAGGTCTTCGCAAACCCGGGTCAGCCAATACGAGCGGCCGCCTCGCGGCCACGAGCGGCTCGCTAACCCGGGTCAGCCAGAGGGGACCTTCGCAGGATCCTGCAGGATCTGGCGCTCTGGCTGACCCCCGTTAGCACTGACCCCCGTCTCTCAGGTCCCGACTCAGAAGGCCCTGGGAATTCCGGGTGAGCCCTCTGAGAAGGCCCGCCCCTTCGCACTTCCCCCCAGCCTCGCCACCGATAGAAGCCACCACCACCACCGAGAACCCATCGGAAGCGGCAGCGGCACGCCTGAGCAGCGGCACGCCTGAGCGTCACCCAGTATGCAGGACGACGCTCGGAGTTGCCACCGCCCAGAGTTAGGTCGGGCGTGTCCCTACAGGTGGATTTTGGACGAAAAGTGAAACATACCCCGAAAGATTCAACAACTATTCAAACATGATCAAACAATCGTCCTCTGACTTTTTTTGAACTATTCTTGGATATTCTCCCTACAGAGGGACAGGGCCGATTTAAGCCCAGGGGTCGCCCCCCCCCTCCCCCCCCCCGATAGGTTCTCGGTGGCGGCTCTCTCTGCTTCCCCTCCTCGTGCGGATCCTGGGCTCCCTCCCGCTTCGCCCCCCAGTCTCGCCGCCCGAGCGGAGAGACGTGCGCCTCTCGGGGCCGGTGGTCTCTGCTGCTTCTCCTCTTGAGGATCCTGCGGAGAGAGAGAGAGAGAGAGAGAGAGAGAGAGAGAGAGAGAGAGAGAGAAAGAGAGAGAGAGAGAGAGAGAACAAAAATTAATAATAACAAACAATCAAAAACAACAAACATACAGATACCGCTACTGCCCGCGCCTTTCTCGGGGCTGACCTTTCTCAGGGTGCGTTCTGACTAGAACCTCGAGGCGAATCCAGCCGCGGCAACGAGGGCCTCCCAAGAGGCCCCCAAGGGCAAAGCCGAGGGAAGGGTAGCGGTGCCCTGGCGGCGCGCACACAGGGGGGGTTAGGGGGAGGGGGGAAGGCTTCTTAGAAACAGTCTGCTTCTTAGAAGGCGCTGGCCCTATATCTATACACGTACGAGGCAGGCGCCTTCTAAGAATAGCAGGGGCGCTTCTTTAGGGGCGCGCAAACATGGATTAGCGATCCATGGATTAGGCGCGCGGTCGCCAAATCTATGGATCAGAGGAAGTGCCCTCCCCAAAATGCGGCCGATGCCGCCTCGTTCGGCGGCTGAAATCCATGATTCCCCATGGAAACAGGACCCGTCGCTAATCCACGCCCCCTTAATCCATGTTTGCGATCGCCTGACGTCTGAGCAGCCCCCGCCCCCCCCACCCCCCCCAAAGCCCATCTGCGCGTGGCTGCTGCCCCCTTCCTGCTCCTGCTCTGATCCCCATCCTCGTCTCCCCTTTCCCCCCCCGAGGAGAGGAGCACTGGGTTATGAAGGTGCCCGGGGAGGCACACACATGCATGGACACAACTTCCAGGATCCCCCATCTTTCTCCAGATGCTCTGGGTCTCCGTCTCCCCCCCACTTCCCATATGTTTCAAGACTGTGCTGGACATCTGCATTTACTTCTTATGTCTGCGACTACAACCACGAGCATGATCAAGATAATAATCTTCGAGCAAAATCTGGGCCGGGTGCCCGAACGCTTCTCAACATTAGCCTGGGCCACACTTTCTGTCGTGAACGCGGGGCAAAGCTAACGTGCTCAAGAAAATGGACCGGTTTTCAGGAAAGTTGGTTAAGAAACAATGTCTCAACTTTGCGGGAGGAACACCCCCCCTTTAGGCCCCCGGTCTTGATTATCTCTGGCCAAGACAGAATTGGTTGGGGGAGAGGGGCGGCGAGGCCGAACTTCATTACCCCCAGGCAAAGTTACGGATCGAGGTTACGAAACGTGTGGCAGGGCTATGTGGTGAATATGCGTGGTGCTGTCTATGCCATGCTGTCTATGTGGTGTCTATGTGGTGCATCTGAGAGGTGCTGTCTTTGTGCTGCCTGTGTGGTGCTGTTTATGTGTTATCCGTACATCCGTTCATACGACTTGCCAAGACATCAAATAGATCATCCCCAAGGAACCCCGACCTTCATTACTCCGGGGGATTACACTGCAGGCCAGTTTACAAGAAACCTTCCACAAGAAACCCAACCCTGAGACCCCAGAACGTCCATTGACTTCTGGAGTGGGAACGTCACGCTTTCCGTCAACAAAAACCATCGACACCCAAGAAACCCAGGGCACCCTGGAGGCAAGCAGGGTGTTTCGTGGCATGGGTTGATAGGGTGGGCTGTGATACAACCTGTCGGCTGGGACAGAACAGAAGAACATCGCTGGGACACCATCGTGGCAATGATACAATATTACAGGGCATCAGCCGGACACTATCATGACAACAGTACACTACTACAGAGCATCATGAGGACAAGATTAGGACATCATGAGGACAACATTCCGATACTCTAGTGTGGGCCATGCCGCATGGGCCCCCAATGTAATATCGCGGGCAGTCGGTCAACCAGATGCTCGACTGTAAGTTTCTCTCCTTTGGCGGTGCGCATACGGGGGCAGGGGGACGGGGCAGGACCTCTTAGAAGGGGGCTGCTTCCTGGAAGCGCCGGCCCTACATGTATAGAGAAGCCCCTCCCCCTCTAAGAAGCAGGGGTGCTTCTAAGCAGCCTTCCCCCCTCCCCCCTGCCCCTCTGCTGAAGGTGCCCAGGGACACACAGATAAATACACACAAACAACAGGACTCCCCTATATTTTCCAACATTTTTGGGGGTTTCTTGTCCTCCCCCCCACCTCCCATAGTTTCCCATACCTTCTGGGGAATCGACGATTCATTCTGTCTGCGTGCTCCTTTCCCTCCCGATCTGCGCGTGGCATACTCGTGCTGGGCTCGACTGCACGCAAGAGTGACCCTGGGTAAGAGTGACCTTTGGTGCGCGGCTTTTTGGGGGCCGCGGGGGGACTAACACGAGCGCGCAAAACGTTACTACCGCATAGCGTTCCGCGATCGGGGGATCCCGTTGGGCCCGCACCAAAGGTCACTCCGGCGAAAGGTCACTCTTACGTGTAGCCGATGGGCGGGGGTCCCGCCGGCGAGGCCCCCCCGGCCGGGGCCGGTCCCTCTCGTAGTCCATGCGCAGGCGCTCGGTCTCCGCGCGGCACTCCGAGCCTGGGCAGCCAGGGGGGGGGGGAGGGCTTCTCCGAAGGGCCTGGGCGGCCCGCCCTCCTCCTCCTCGTCCTTTATCCTCCTCCTCCTCCTCCTCCTCCTCCTCCTTCTCTATTCTCCTCCTCCACCTCCTTCTCCTTTCTCCTCCTCCTCCTCCTCCCCTCCTCCTCCTCCTCCTCCTCCTCCTCCTCCTCTCTCCTCCATGTCCTCCTCCCGCTCCCCTCCTCTTTCACCTCCTCCTTCCTCTCCTCCTTCCCCTCCTCCTCCTCGTCCCTCCTCCTCCTCCTCTCGTCTATTATCCTCCTCCTCCTCCGCCTTCTCCCATTCTCCTCCTCTCCTCCTCCTCCTCCTCCTCCTCCTCCTCCTCCTCCATGTCCTCCTCCCACTCCCCCTCCTCTTTCACCTCCCTCCTTCCCTTCCTTCTCCTCCTCCTCCTCCTCCTCCTCCTCCTCCTCCTCCTCCTCCTCCTCTTCGGGTCGCCTACGGCCCCGGGAGAACCCGTGCAGGAGGGGGGAGGGTCGCACGCGAGGCCAGGCATCCAGCACACGTCGGTCGGACGGTCCCGGGAGGGACCCCAGGGAACGGGGCTCTTGAGACGGGCGATGCCGATTTCTCGAGGAGTCCGCTCGGCTACGCACGCCCACAGGGTCGGTGCACGACGCTTTCGCTCGCACTCTTCGAAGTGTCACATGCAACGCCGCGGTCTCAGAGAAGTCCCTTTCGCTGACGTCCCTCTGGGAAACGTATCAGGAAGAGTCGGGTGACAACTGTTTTCGTCAGCGGCGAGGCAGAGAAGCTGCCCCAGCGGGTGGCGCTTCGGGGCGGCCGAAAAAGCCAATTGGCCAGGGTGCAGGAGGGGGTGGGACAAGTCAGACAGGGCGGCCGCGGAGGACGGGAGGATGCGGAGGGCACTCCGACGCGAAACGGTTCCACACTGAGCGCGCCGGCACGGCCATCAGCGGCAGCGGGGGCCGTGGCAGGCAGGTAGAAACATGGATCAGATTGGCGGATAAACTAGGTTGGATCCAGGCCCTTCCTGAGAATAACAGAGCACAGAAAAGGCAGATCGGTTCTCGAAGTAGGAAGAGGCGCTTGAAGTGGGCTGGGATCTGGGCATCCATGAGTACCTATTTCCAAAGACCGACGGGTGCAATAGAGGCTGATTGGAGAGGACACGCAAGAGGACACAAGACCCTTCCGAGGGCCACATTGCCATAGGAATACAGAAGGCATGGGTCGTGAAACATCGGACACAAGGGTACCCTTGATTTGGCAGGGTCGTCCTTCTCATCGGCCTAGACTGAAGGCCGCGTCGGTACGGATATTTCAAATGATGGACCCAGCGCGACCCCAATGAGGGGGAAATTTCCAGTTGCATGGGAGCTATGATAAGCATTGTTTGGCGTTGCTTGGCACTGCTTGGCGTTGGTTGGCGATGGTTGGCATTGCTTGGAGTCGCTTGGCGGTGATGAGTACTGGTTTGAAACAAGACCAAGCAAACCGAAGAACGTACTAAGGCCGCAAGACTGAACAACCCCGGGGCAACGCAACAGTAAGGACATAAGACAACGCAAGATCAAGGAAGGAGACAGTAAGGAAACAAGACCAAGGGTGCTACACATTATAATTTCTCGTCTAAAGAATAGTATGGGCCCTCCTTGGAGGCTCTAAGAACAGTGGCCTACGATCTTAACTAAAGATCGACCATATCGACCATTTGTCTACGACCTTAACATGAGATCGACCAGGCCCCTGGGTAAGGAATTAAGATCAACCAACCTCGGGGAAGGACGATCAGTAAGGAAACATGGCGACATAGCCCAGAGAAACGCCACAGCCAAGAACCGACGCCAGGCAACACCGAGTAACGCCGACCCGCGCAGGCCTCGCACGCGCCATCAGAGACTGTCCTGGCGAGGGACCCAGGCCATGCGCAGGCCTGCGCATCGCGAGGAAGGCGAGGCGAAGGAGGAGAAGGCGAGGCGAAGGAAGGCGAGACGAAGGAGGGACGCAAGAGGAAGGGAGGCGAGACGGAGGAGGGGTGTGCCAAACTGGGACCAGGCCGCCAGGCGGGCGACGCCCCTGGGGTCTTCGGCGGAGCTCCCCATGGGGACACGAACCGTGTGCTGCGTATGCGTGCAAGTGTGTAGGTGCGCCAAAATGGAGCGGGGTCGCCATGCGGGCGCTGCCACTGTGGCCTTCGGTGGAGCTCCCTGCTTACGCAGGCCGAGAGATTTTCCTCTTGGGCCCCAAGTGTCAGAAACGACGGCATCCCGTCCCTTGTCCCCTACTCCCCCTTCCTCGTGACTCCTCCCTCCTCCTTCCCCCTTGCGTCCTGGGAAGACCCCCCTCCCCCGTATAATCATAGCATTGGTAAGCAGATCCACAGTTTCGTGGATGGCGTGATGCTTCACGTGCGGTGCCCCGCGGATCCCACTTCCCTTGCGTCCGGGATGTTAGTTAGTTATTATTATTATTACTATTATTATTATCATTAGTACTATTATCATTACTATTATTATTATTATTATGATTATGATTATGATTATTATGATTATTATTAGTGGTATGATTATATTTGTAGGTTTATTCACAGAAAATCTGCCGATCCGGCGTGTGAGTTTCAAGGAGTCTCAGCTACAGCCTCGAGGCTGAGCCTCAGCCTCTGGGGAGGTTGCCGGGGTGGCTCTGCCGGGGAAGGGGGGGTGGGGGGAAGGGGGGGGGTGCGAGTTTCCGGCGGATGCGTTTTTTGGCACCCCTCACAAGGATCGTGGCCTCCGAGGGGGTTCCGACCTCGAGTACCACCCCTCCCGCACCAAGAGGCTCCGAGGAGGCCTCCAAGAGGCCCCAAGGGGCGCAGAAGAGGCCCCCAAGAAGCCCCAAGAGGCTCCCAAGAGACCCCCAAGAGGCCCTCTAGTGGCCCCAAGAGGCCCAAGAGGCCCCCAAGAAGCCCCAAGAGGCGCCCAAGAGGCCCCCAGAAGTCCCAGCCAACCACGAGATCCCAACCAGCATCCATGAGGCCTCTGACCCACCACCCACGCACGGTGGCGGGATAGGCCGACGGCCACTGGATCCGCCGCCCCCTGCTTGCAGGGGTGCACGGCGTGCTGGACGAGCTGTTAGGTTTTGGTTTTGGTTCTTTTTCCAAAAGAACTCCCCAGTGGGCTCCGGCAGAACCCGCCACCGTGCGCAAAAACGGCCGTTTCGCTCGGGACATCCTCAAAAAATCGCGAAGATGGCCCAAGATGGCCTCCAAGTCCGCCCGAGATGGTCCAAGACGGCCTCCAAAACGGCCCAAGAGAGTCCAAGACGGCCCAAGACGGCCCAAGAGGCCCCCCAGAGGCCTCCCAGACGGCCCAAGAGGCCTCCAAGAGGTCCTCCAGGAGAGTCCGAAGAGGGCAAAATCATTGATTTTCCATTGGTTTTTGAAGGATTTTGGCATTTGCGCCTTTTCGGCTCTCCGACGGCTCAAGACGGCCCAAGAAGCCCCCAAGATCGCCCAAGAGGCCCCCAAGAGAGCCCCCTGATGGCCCAAGTGGCCTCCAAGATGGCCCCTAGAGGGCCCCAAGACGGCCCAAGAGGCCTCCAACACGCCCAAGATGGCCTCCAAGACGCCCAAGATGGCCTCCAAGACGGCCCTGGAGCGCCCCAAGAGGGTCCCCCGTTGGCCCAGACAGGCCCCCAAAACGGCTCCCGACGGCGTCAGACGTGCCAGGAACCCACCAAGATGGCCGAAGTTGGCTCGAAGCTGGCCCAAAAGGGCCCAAGAGGCCCCCAAGAGGGCCTCCAGGAAGGCCAAAAGATGTCAAAATCACTGATTTTCCAAAGGTTTTTGATGGATTTGGGCATTTCCCTTCTTTCGGCCTTCCGACGGCCCGAGACGGCCCAAGAGCCCCCAAAGATCGCCGAAAGATCGCCCAAGAGGCCTCCAAGACGACGACGATGACCATCAAGACGCCCACGTGTTCCCCGAAGGCTTTCCAAACCGATTCGGGGAACACATGGTCCGATGGCTTGGCAGGTCTGGCCTCAACGTTCGGCCACATAGGCGCTTCCACAAAGGCAGGGGCGGCGGTGATTCGCCGTAGGCGTCTTCGATCCGCCGCCCCCTGCTTGCAGGGGTGCACGGCGTGCTGGATGATTCAGTTTTGGTTTTGGTTCTTTTTCTAAAAGAACTCCCCAGTGGGCTCGGCCCGTCCCGCCGGGGTCCCGGGAGGAAGCCGAAAGGACCTCAATCCGGAAAAAATCCTCCAAAAAACGGCCGTTTCGCTCGGGACATCCTCAAAAAATCGCGAAGATGGCCCAAGATGGCCTCCAAGTCCGCCCGAGATGGTCCAAGACGGCCTCCAAAACGGCCCAAGAGAGTCCAAGACGGCCCAAGACGGTCCAAGAGGTCCTCCAGGAGAGTCCGAAGAGGCCAAAATCATTGATTTTTCCTTGGTTTTTGAAGGATTCTGGCATTTGCGCCTTTTCGGCTCTCCGACGGCTCGAGACGGCCCAAGAAGCCCCCAAGATCGCCCAAGAGGCCCCCAAGAGAGCTCCATGATGGCCCAAGTGGCCTCCAAGATGGCCCCTAGAGGGCCCCAAGAGGGCCCATGAGGCCTCCAACACGCCCAAGATGGCCTCCCAGACGCCCAAGATGGCCTCCAAGACGGCCCTGGAGCATTCCAAGCGGGCCCCAAGTCGGCCCATAGAGGCCCCCCAAACGGCTTCCGACGGCTTCAGACGTGCCAGGAACCCACCAAGATGGCCGAAGTTGGCTCGAAGCTGGCCCGAGACGGCCCAAAAAGCCCCAAAGATCGCCCAAAGCTTGCCCAAGAGGCCTCCAAGACGGCCAAGATGACCTTCAAGATGCCCACGTGTTCCCCGAAGGCTTTCCAAACCGATTCGGGGAACACGTGGTCCGATAGCTTGGCAGGTCTGGCCTCAACGTTCGGCCACATAGGCGCTTCCAAAAAGGCAGGGGGCGGCGGTGATTCGCCGTAGGCGTCTTCGATAAATGC